AGATCAAAGATGCAATGAAACATGGGTTGATAACCGATGAGAAGGAGCAGGCCAAGAGGCCTTTTGCGCACAGTTCCATTGTAACCACTAGTGGAAGCATAACTATGTAGCCATCTGATGTGAGTGTTGTTACTACCACAGCCAAAACTGCCAACCTTTTCGCCAGCACGACTCCACAAACTTCAAACAACCAAGCCCGATCCCAGAGGACCTTTACCTTGCTTTACATGCCTTTATCCTAAGCCTTGAGGGTGCTGATTAAAAAGGGACATCTTAAGCCATTAGAGCCTCACCCATTACCCGATCCTCTCCCACCTAAACACAGCCCCAACCAAATACTATGCTTTTCACCAGCAACACGTTCACGACGCCAACCAATGTTTCAGGCTGCGTCATGAGATTCAAGATCTCATCAACAATAAGGTGATAGCACCACTCCAGAAGCCAAATGTAACCACTAACCCTCTTCCAGCCCACTATCAAGTCCCTCAACTTCGGTACTTAAATCTAATACATACATTGGCCATTCCCTATGACCCCAGCGTATTTGTTACCCCTTCTCACCTATCCAGACCTACATTGTTCATCCCTAAAAGCACAGACTTGTGCATGATGGACACGTCCACACTTTAACCTGAACCCGCGGTGGTGACAATGGCAAAAGGATGTAAGTTGGCCTTGGAGGAAAATGTCAGTCCATTGCTTGAGAGCTCTGCGGACTTATCTGAAGGGGTGTATGACCCATTCTGTTACATTGTGTTGACCGATCAAGCCAAACCAGAAGTGGTATTGCCGACAGCAGCGGAGGTCAATGTGGTTAGAGAGGATGGCCTAAGTCAGGGACTAGATGATCTAGCAGAGCTAAAGGAGGACTTAGACAATCTACAGTTCTTCGACGAACAAGATCAAAGAGACGTGTTGATTGACTAGTTTGATTTGAATAAGTCAACGAACAACTCAGGGTGGTTGAGTAATGAACTTGACCAGGAGGAAGGGATTGAACCAAAACCAGAAGAAAATGAAGCAAGAATAGCTGTAGTGGCCGGAATGGCTGATGAGAATGGAAAACTACCGGAGAGCACCGATATCAAGAATTTAGCTCAAGAACTGGGCGCCGTGAGTACTGTGGATACAGAATAAGAAGCTGAGTTGAAGCAGTTTGAACAAGAAAGGATTGAAGACACCTAGAAAGCTGGAAAATCCAAACACCCTATGGGGGATATTTTTGATGTACGAGTGATTAGAACAGAATCGGACAATTTCTTGTCGGTTGCTAGGGGTATATAGTGGGAAGATGATTATCTACATCTGGCCCACACTGATGAGGACTGGGATGAGTTCCTGCCAGACAATACTTGGTACTCTAAAGAGGTGGACCACATGACGAGGAGTAAGCGGTATTTCAAACCCCCACATTTAGACGAAGTCGAGTCCTCTGGGAAAGATAAGGAGATTGAAAAATAGAAACAAAAGCAGTTAAAGGAAGAGGCAGTGCTGAAGCAACTGAAGAAAATCCAAGCCGATATTTCAATTTAGGGGCTGCTCATGGCTTCTCGAGTGCATCGACAAGCTGTATTATCAGTAATGGACAAAGCCAAACTGTCCATTGACAACACCTCTGAACAGCTTGTGGGATTAGTTTTCCCAGGTGGTACCAGTCCAACCCTAACATTTTCCGAGAAAGAACTGTCGCCAGAAGGCTCAGCACACAACAAACCTCTGTACATATCTGTTGAGTGTAAAGAAAAATGGGTGCCAGTGGTGTTGGTCGATACTGGGTCAGCTATCAATGTCTGTCCGTCGCGCACAGCTTATGCCCTCGGTCTGAAACTAGCAGATTTTATGCCCACAACCGAAGTGATTCGGGTGTACAAAATACGAGCAGAGAGGTTATGGACACGGTACAAATCATAGTTTAAGTGGGCCCAGCTCAACAGGACATTGAGTTTTATGTCCTGGATGTCTTGGCCACTTTCAATCCATTATTAAGGAGACCTTGGTTACACCAGGTGAAAGTTATCTTTTCTACCTTCCACTAAATGCTGAAATACCCCCATGGGAAGGGAGTGGCGATCATCTTTAGGAATTCATCTATCCATCCTCCGCCAAAGGTAACTACACCTGTGTTAGAAATTGTTCATGGCAAGAAGGATGTTTTCCTTCAGGTTTTACGCTGGTTGAGGCCCGAGCAGTACAAACCATCTTGGCAGTAGATAAGGGCATGTATGTCAGTGCCCAATCAATCTATTTCATGAACAAGCTACAACATGTGTCAGAAATGGGGCTTGAAAGATGTGGCCGAAAGGGCGTCGCAACATTGGCTGATGTGCCACATAATCTGCATGCCTTTGGTCTTTGTTATATGCCCACTAAAGAGGATTGGGTTAGGAAAGGAAAAGAGATAGCAGGCAAAGTGTAACAACCTGACCCTCTTATATACCTTATAGCTCTAGTTCTTTGAGCAAGTTATATGTTTAATATGAAATTCTATGTAAAGTTATATTTATACGTGGGAAATTGTTGAATTGTGTTACCTATCTGTTGACTACTGGAATATATCTGTTAACAATTAAAATATTGACTCGGGAATTTAAAGCTATAGAGGTGTAATAAATAGAAATTGAGCATGAGAACGTGCTAGTGGGAATTTTTAGAGCTTTTTGAAAGGTTCAATTGAAAATTTATTTCATGCGATTCACTAAGGCATGTTTGGCATGGTTAGAAGCCAAAGACCTATATGAGTTATTTAAGCCCTTTTTTCTTGAGCTCATCTCTCCATACATGTATGTTGAGTGAGTGGTAAACATAAAGAACCTTGGAAAAGAGAAAAAATGGAAGATAAGGAGAGTCAACAAGACTAGAGATTGAGGAATTTGTTGGAAACAATTGAGGAGTCCAATTTAAGGTGAGAATCCCTACTTAATTAAAGTGGAATTAAGCTATGTGTTAAAGTATCCTCCCTCCATGAAATTAGGGTTTTGATTGGGAGGGTTTGGGTCTCATTAAAGAGCCATGTACTTCTTGAATATGTATGATAAGGACCTAAACTACTTGTTTTGCTTATGTTCTTGCCTACTCTCACACTTTTATATGTTTGATTTCACAAGAATAACAAGCTAGACATTGTTTATATATATACATATATATTGTATGGTGTGAATGGGAAGAGCATGAACTTTTGAGAAGTAAAAGTCATAGGGCTAAATTCCATGTTTATAAGTTTAATTGTTATGTTTTTTAGTGATCAAACTACTTTGATTTTAGCTTTGTGGCTACCCTTGTGAATTTGGAAATTGTTGAATTTCGGACAAGAAAACAGGGCAAACCGCCGCATGTGCGGGGCTCATGGCCGCACGTGTGGGAGTCACAGTCGCATGTACGGGGCTCATAGCCGCACGTGTGGAAAACAAGGGAAAAGAGGGTAGCCATTTTGCTAAAAAGGCATGTGCGGCCCGCACGTGCGGCGCACTTTCCCGCACGTGTGGCAATGACTCCAGCACGTGCGGCCCATGCCGAAAAATTCCGCGATCTTCTCTTGCTCTCCCTGACCTCTTAAAAATATGTTTATGTTCGTTTAATGTCCCCATAATGCACTTAATTACGTGAAGCATAATGAATTGAATATTAAGAAATGAAAGGAGAACTGATGTGCTAATGAATTATCTGCTTGTGTAGGCCATCCGCAGGAAGGAACCGACATCCATCCACATCACTGTGAGTGATAGTAGCATAACATAATGCTCTGTTTACATATTTTGTTGTGAACATGCTATTTACAATCTTATTCACTCTTTAGTAAATGTATAAAGTTATATGGAATAGGTTGATACATGAGATTTGGCATATGATGTATGGATCCAAGATCTTTTTTTTGATAATACGATGGGCCTAAGGCCGTTTTGCTATAACGATGGACCTGAGGCCGTTCTGTACTCTGTTGGCCCCAAGGCCGTTCTGTTTAATATGGGCCCAAGGCCATTCTGTACTCTGTTGGACCCAAGGCCGTTTTGTTTAATATGGGCCGGAGGCCGTTCTGTTTAATATGGGCCAGAAGCCGTTCAGAAATAGGAAACGAGATAGTGGATTGTGAATATGCAATGCTGGTTCATGTTTCTACTTTTAATTTATTTACTATGCTATCATTCACTGAGCTTTGCTCATTCTACTTTCTGAATGTTTTGTAGGTACTCAACTTACCGGTCAACCCTAGGTCAGCCCAGGAGCCAAAGTCGAATCCGTATTGCTAAGTTAACTAAAATGACCCTTGTTATGTCTCAGAAATCCCTATAATGGGATATTTTGTTTTAGTCTGGGGACGACATGCATATATATATATATATGTATTGTAGAACCTTAACTTTTGAATTAACTGTTATCTATCTTTTGTAATGAGTAACGCGGAAATGGTGGTATGTACTGTAATGCATTATGACCTTGGCACTTAGACACAGCTCAATAAATGTTTGTTCTTGCATTATTTAGCTTCCGTTCAGACCCCGTGATTAAACAATATTTTAAAATAGCCAGTTTGAGGCCTTGGTGCAGGCTGGTCATACCCAAACTTTTAGGGGCAGGTTTGGGGTGTGACAGTTGGTATCAAAGCACAAGTTGCTACCTCACGCACGAGTTCATTGAGCTTTAAACTGTCTAGAAAAGACCTACGTTGTATGCATGTGATTTTTGGTGCATGCATAATAAGTAGGGGTATAAATATATACATATTGGTTCTAATAGTGATTCATGCCTATTTGTGCATTTTATATGTATTATGATTAATTGCTATGTAGATCATGGTGAGAACCAGAACAGATGACCCAGAAGATGCCACCGCCGTGCGGTTGGATAGAATGGAAAGGATAATTATGGAGATGGCAGAAACTTTGAGGCAACAACAGTAGCAACAGCAACAACCATTACCCCCCATACATGTACCACCGCCTGGGATACAGGATCATCAAGCTGAGGACCGAACAATCACACTCACGAAGGAATTTAAAAAGATGAAGCCGTCATCATTTAAAGGAGGGATAGAACCAATGAAAGCCAAAGCATGGGTGTTGGGTATAGAAAAGTTATTCGAAGTTTTCACTTGTACTGAAGCTCAAAAAGTGCAGCTTGCTACCTTCACCCTCGAAGACGAAGCACGAAGGTGGTGGATGCTTACGAGAACTGTACACCAAGGGTTGACATGGGATAGATTTTTGGAATTGTTCTATGACAAGTATTTTCCCCAGAGCATACAAGACAAGAAGGTGACTGAGTTTGAGACCCTGAGGCAGGGAAATAGAACTGTTGCAGAATATGAGGCTCAATTTGCCGAATTAACTCAGTTTGCACCGCACATGGTGGACACAGATTACAAGAAGGCAAGAAAGTTCGCAGGTGGGTTGCGGGCTGCTATTCTCGACCAAATTAATGTGTTGAAATTACCCACGTATGTTGACGTGTTGGAAAGGGCCGTGATTGCTGAGAGCAATGTTGTTGCTCAAAATCGGGCCTCGGAGTGGAGAGGGAAAAGGCAGAACACCCAAATTTTTTAGGGCTCAAGGACACAGCCAAATAAGAAGTTGAATTTAGGAGCTTTTAGCACATCCACGTCTACCTGTGATTCTGCACCAACCTGTCCAAATTGTGGAAAGAGACATCGTGGAATCTGTTACCGGGGCAACGAGAGCATGCTTTAAGTATGGAAAGACTGGTCATTTGGCCAGAGAATGTCCACAAAGGAATCAACAGAATGGGAATAAAACTACCACAAGTTCAGCCAGTTCAACTCCAATCCCAACCACAAAAGCACAAAGGCAATTACAAAACCCACCAATACCAAGGGTATTCGCGTTAGTTCCGGGTGACGTGCAAAATACCGAGGTCGTGGTATCAGGTATATTTTCTGTTAATGGTCATTCTGCACATGTATTATTTGATTCGGGCTCCACTCACTCATTTGTATCGAAAGCATTTGTTAGACATTTAAATAGGCCAATGGAACCACTGTCCTATGTTTTGTGTATATCTACACCCTCGGGGGAGTCCATGGTATGTACATCCATTTACCTTGCGTGTGAAGTCCTAATTGGGGATGTTTGGGTAGATGCAAACTTGTTACCTCTTGATATGGTTTACTTTGACATTATCTTGGGGATGGATTGGTTAAGAAAATATCATGCGACTATAGATTGTGCCTCAAAGCCAGTTACATTTCAATCCCCAGGACAATCTGAAGTTGTTTTTACGGGTCAAGGTCTAGTTTCTCCACCCTATTTGATTTTCGCAATGAAGGCGTGTAAACTATTGCAAAAGGGTTGTCGGGGATATCTGTGTAGTATTTTGAGTGAACAACCAGTGAGTGAGGGTATTGATACAATTCCAGTCATGCGGGATTTTCCGGATGTTTTTTCGAAAAAGCTACCAGGAGAGCCAGTAAATTGCGAAATCGAATTTACGATTGACCTTATGCCAGGAACCCAACCCATTTCAAAAACTCCTTACCGAATGTCTCCTGCCAAAATGAAAGAGTTGAAGGTTCAATTGCAAGACCTCCTGGACAAATGGTTCATTCACCTAAGCATTTCCCTTTGGGGGGCACCAGTCCTATTTGTGAAAAAGAAAGACGAAACCCTTCGGTTATGTGTAGATTACAAGGAACTCAACAAAGTGACCATAAAGAATTCATATCCTCTGCCTAGAACCAACGATTTATTTGATCAATTACAGGGTGCACAAGTCTTCTCTAAAATAGATCTGCGGTCGGGATATCACCAACTAAAAGTTAAGGCTGAGGATGTCGAGAAAACGGCCTTCCGGACCCGTTATGGACACTATGAATTTTTGGTTATGCCATTTGGGGTCACTAATGCACCAGCGGCCTTCATGGATTGGATGAATCGAGTATTTAAGCCATATCTGGATGATTTTGTGGTTGTGTTTATCGATGATATCCTTATTTACTCATCAAGCATAGAAGCTCATGAGAACCATCTACAATTAATTCTCCAAACTTTGCGGGACAAGAAGTTGTATGCAAAATTAAAGAAATGTGAATTTTGGCTACACGAAGTAAGCTTCTTGGGGCACATGGTGACAAAGGAGGGTGTTGCTGTTGATCCGCACAAGATTGAAGCTATTGTGACTTGGCCGACACCTACTAATGTGTCAGAGGTGCGCAGTTTCTTGGGTTTGGCCAGATACTACCGTAGGTTTGTTAAAGACTTCTCTAAAATTATGGTACCGCTTACTCAGCTAACAAAGAAGGGTGTTCCATTTGAATTGTCGGACCAACGGGAATCTGCTTTTCAAAAATTAAAGACAAAATTGACTACCGCGCCTATTTTGGCCTTGCCATCTGGTAGCGAAGGATTTGAGATTTATAGTGATGCTTCTCACAAAGGGTTGGGTTGTGTACTTATGTAGAATGGAAGGGTTATCACATATGCCTCTCGTCAACTTAAACCCCATGAGAAGAATTACCCCACACACGACCTAGAGTTAGCTGCAGTGGTCTTTGCCTTGAAGATATGTCGTCACTATCTGTATGGGGTTAGATGCGAGGTTTATATTGATCATAAGAGTCTTAAATATTTCTTCACCCAAAAAGAACTAAACATGCGTCAGAGACGGTGGTTGGAGCTTATTAAGGATTACGATCTACAAATTCACTACCACCCCGGTAAAGCTAATACAGTGGCAGATGCCCTTAGCCGTAAGAGTACGGGGAGTTTGGCGAACCTACTCATGAGACAGGAGAAGTTACTACGTGACTTGGAAAGGATGAATGTGGAGATCGTGTTACATGAATGGAATGCAACAATTGCAGCGATAGCAGCCCAACCAGCAATTTTGGAAGAGATTAAACAACGGTAGTTAGAAGATGAATTTCTGTAGAAAATTTGTGGTGAACTAGAAACGAAACTAATGCCCGGGTTCTTAGTTGAAAATTCAGTTTTGAAATTTCAAGGTCGGTGGTGTGTTCCCAATGTACCACAAATCAAGAAGAGGGTTATGGAGGAAGCGCATAGCTCCAAATATGCGATGCACCTTGGTAGTACAAAAATGTACCATGACTTAAAACAGAATTTCTGGTGGCCGGGTATGAAGAGGGAAATTGCAGAAAATGTCTCAAAATGTCTGCAGTACCAACAAGTGAAAGTGGAGCACCAAAGACTGGCAGGTTTACTACAACCACTTCCGATTCCAGAATGGAAATGGGAACATTTAACCATGGATTTTATTGTAGGATTACCGCGGACTCCTCGAGGCATGAACTCTATATGGGTCATCGTTGATAGACTAACTAAGTAAGCTCACTTCTGTAGACACCCCATTTTGACCGGTTCTAAGACTTGGGCGCTTCCTTTTGATTACTCGATGATGACAATTAGAATGTGTTTCTCACAGAATCCTCAGTAAGAGAGATGGAATTTGAATTTTAATCCCAACCTTCACCACTATGGCCCAATTGTTTTAAACTACCAAATATTTTATTAGTTTAGTATTTTGTAATTTTGCATAATTTTATGTGTTTGTTCATATTTTTGGTGTTTTTAGATAAATTCTAGGGTTTTATATAAATTGAAATCATGAAACTCTATTTTTTTACGGTAATGTAGTCTTCTGTCTATTTATTTTTCTTTATCTTTGACTTCTTTGTCGCATTTTTTTAATTTCAAAATGTCTACTTTCTTGCCTTTTCATCCTAATTTTTACCATACAAACAAATATATATACATATATATATATATATATATATTATATTATATAACATGCATATAGATGATAGTAATATAATAGTTATATTATTATAATTATATTATATTATTATATCATTATAATGTGCTTATATAAGAAGGAGGGAGAGGCTCAGTTGAGGGGGAGAGTCTGAAGAAAAGAAAAGTCAAAGAGGGAAAGGAAAAGGAAGAAAAAAAAAAGGAGTCTGAAAGGAAAAAAGAGAGGAGAGGCCCATCGAAGAAGAAAAAAAGAAAAAGAGGGAAGGAGATTAGGAAATCAGAGAGAGAAAAAGAAGTGGTGCGAGAGAGTTTGAGAGAAAAAGAATCAGAAAGAAGGAATAAAATATTTTCTTTGATATTTTTATTTCTATTTCATCAATACATCATTCAAAAAAAAAACAACCACTAAAGCTGTAATTCCAAATTTTGGGCTGAGAATTGAGAATACATTCCACAAACTTGAGGATAATCAAAAGAAAGTTTGTGACTCAGAAAATTCATCATTTTCTCAAAAGGTGAGTTTTCGCAAACTTTCAATTAATTTAAAAATGTGATATAACTTGTTTAAATACTTCATTTATTGCTTTTTTTAATGTAATTTAAATATTGTATATAAACTGTTGTAATTTATTGCTTAAAATAATTTACCCCGCCGGATGAATAGTAACCTCCAGCGGTGAATAGTAACCCCGACGATGAATAGTACCTCCGGTGGTGAATAGTACCTCTGGCTATTTAATTTTGCTCGCTTTCTATAGCTTAATTTCAGCACTATTATATGCTATTTAGCGGGCTGTTTAATTTATTTCAATGATTTATGTTTTAAATATCAAGTTTGTTTGTACTAACCAATTAATCAACTTCACATAATCATCTCTTCAACCTCCCTCCATTCTTTGCTTATTTCGATTAAAAAGTTGTGAAAAATTAAGATTGTGGTTCAAGTATAAGAAAGGAACTCTTCCATGCTTAATGGTTTAATCTCTTCGGAGGTTCATTACCAAAGGTATAAAACGCTCTATGCTTAATGGTTTAATCTCTTTGGAGATTCACTACCAAAGGCATAAAACGTTTTATGCTTAGGAGGTTCATTACCAAAGGTATAAAACGTTCCATGCTTAATGGTTTAATCTCTTTGGAGATTCACTACCAAAGGCCTAAAACATTTTATACTTAAGAGGTTCATTACCAAAAGTATACAACGTTCTATGCTTGCTGATTTAATCTTTTAGGGGATTTACTACCAAAAACATAAAACGTTCTATACTTAACGGTTTAAATTCTTTGGAGGTTCACTATCCCAAATGTATACATGTTCTTATACTAAAGCTCAATCTTTTATTTTTCATTTCTCTTTATTCATCAGTGTGTTTACTTTTAAGGGACTAATTGACCCTTGGAAATCACCAAGGAAAGTGTCATTATCATTTATTATCAAGTTTGGATTTCAAGTCATTATCACTCAAGTTTGAGTTTTTCTAAGTCATTATCACTCTTTTGAGTTTGACTAGTCATTGTTGCACATCTTGAGTTTGACTTGGAATCCCTTATCGCTTGTAAATAAGTTTGACTCTTCCTTTGTAATTTTCCCCGAAGAAAATTTTCTCGGGTTAAGTTGATGCTTGTTTCTCTTTATTGCATTTTGGACTTAGTGGACGTAAATGTCACTTTTGCACAAACAGGAGAAAAGATAAAGAAATGGACAGGTAATAAAAAAGGCTAATAAAATTGGTTAAAATTGGATTACAACTGACAAAAAGAACCAATATGATTAATTGAATTCGGTCGGACGTTATACCGAATTTATTGTGTCAAGG